ACGAGAGTTAATTTGCATATTACCTCTTTATTATATAGGATGTATTATATTTCCTATGCTGTGCTTTATATCCCCATGACTATTCTATACCTATCAATTTGTACTTCTCAATTCCTTAACCTTTTTCACCATTCCCAACCCCCAAAATGTTTTCCATATCTATGAGTCTGGGGGGTTTTTTGTTTGTTTTTTTAAAAATATATTTTATTGATTTTTTACAGAGAGGAAGGGAGAGGGATAGAGAGTTAGAAACATCAATGAGAGAGAAACATCGATTAGCTGCCTCCTGCACACCCCCTACTGGGGATGTGCCCTCAACCAAGGTACATGCCCCTGACCGGAATCTAACCTGAGACCCTTCAGTCCGCAGGCCAACGCTCTATCCACTGAGCCAAACCGGCTATGGCTATGAGTCTGTTTTTGTTCTGCTTGTTTGTTTGTTTTTGTTTTTTTATTTTTTATTTTTTATTTATTTTTGCTTGTTTGTTTTTTAGATTCCACATATAAGTGAAATCATTTGGCATTTGTCTTTCTATGACTTATTTCACTTAGCATAATACCCTCTAGGTCAGTGGTTCTCAACCTTCCTAATGCCGCGACCCTTTAATACAGTTCCTCATGTTGTGGTGACCCCCAACCATAAAATTATTTTTGTTGCTACTTCATAACTGTAATTTTGCTACTGTTATGAATCGTAATGTAAATATCTGATATGCAGGATGTATTTAGGTGAACCCTATGAAAGGGTCGTTTGACCCCCAAAGGGGTCGCGACTCACAAGTTGAGAACTGCCGCTCTAGGTCTATCCACGTTTTTGCAGATTGGCAAGATTTCACTTTTTTATGGCTGAATCATATTTCATTGTATATATGCCCCACTTCTTTATCCATTCATTTATTGTTGGCCAATTACATTGCTTCCATATCTTGGTTATAGTAAGTAATGTTGCAATAAATATATGGATGTGTATGCCTTTTCAATTTAGTGTTTTGAGTTTCTTTGGGTAAATAACCAGAATTGGAGTTGCTGGGTCCTTCTGTATCTCTTGTTATAGCCTTTGTTTCAAAGTCTGTTTTGTCTGGTATAAGTATTACTACCCCATCTTTTTATTTTGTTTTGTTTTCATTTTCATGAAATACCTTTTTTCATCCCTTTACTTTCAATTTGTGTGTCTTTTGATCTGAATTGAGTCTCTTGTAGGCATATATAAGGGTCTTAATTTGTTATCCATTCAGTCACCATGTCTTTTGATTGGAGCATTTAATCCACTTGCCTTTAAAGAAATTGTTGATAAATATGTATTTATTGCCATTTTATTATTCATGTTTTTTATTTTTTATTCTTCTTCTAAAAGAAGACCCTTTTAGCACTTCTTGTAATACTGGTTTGGTGGTAATGAACTTCTTTAGATTTTCCTTGTCTGGGAACTTCCTTATCTGTCCTTCTATAACTTTGCTGGGTAGAGTAATCTTGGTTGTAGGTTCTTGATTTTCATCACTTTGAATATTTCATGCCACACCCTTCTGGTCTGCAAAGTTTCTGCTGAGAAATCAGCTGACCGTCTTATGGGAGCTTCCTGGTAGTAACTAACTGCTTTTCTCTGGCTGCTTTTAAGATTCTCTGTTTGTCTTTAAAGTTCTGTTGTTTTAAGCCACCCAGTTTGTGGTAAGTTGTTACAGCAGCCCTAGGAAACTTCAAACTCTTTAGATAATTTGAGAGCATACTGGGGTAGAACCGATTTTCTTCAGCAAGTTGACTATCATATCTTGGTCCTAACATTGTCTTCAGAGGTAAGAATCTTCCTGCCACAGTTGAGCCATCGCGGGGGATCTTGTTGTGAGCCATGACTCAGAGTCAAGTGGGCCTCTTTGCGCGGAACTCCGTGGCCTCCAAACCCTGGCCAAGGTCCGGATTCCAGCCGCTCCCACTGGGATAACATAAGTGCTGCGCACCACTTTCATTATATCCAAGTATCTTTTTATCTAGTTGGGTGTTTTTTAATATGATTTTAGAGAGGAAGGGAGAGGGGTAGAGAGATAGAAACATCCATGAGAGAGAAACATGAATCATCGCCTCCTGCATGATCCCACTGGGGATCTGGCTGGCAACCCACGCATGTGTTCTGACCAGGAATCGAACCAGTGACCTCTTGCTTCATGGATCAATGCTCAACCACTGAGCCACACCAGCCAAGCAAGAAAGCTAAGTATTATAATATAAACATGTGCAAATAAAATGGTGTCTATAACAAGGACTGAAATTACGCATTTTAACTGTTATAAATGGCTGATGTCTTACTTTTCACAATCTCCCTCCAGCCCTGCCTTCACCTCTACCCTTCAAGCTTCTAAGTCGAAGGTACTCTAGCCTTTA